ATTAGGAAAGATGAGAAGAATATAAAGAACGTGTAGAGACGGGTTAAGATAGGAGGAAATATAAGTAAGCATAATCGAGGAAAAGACGAATGGAAGATGAAGGAAGGAACGGAGGGTAAGATGTGGGAGTAAGGGATAATGTGTAACTAGGGAGAAGTGAAAATGGAGGAATGGGGATAGAGTATGTAAATATAGTAGAGAGGAGAGGGGTAGGAAGAAATAGAAGAAAGTGAGAGAGAAGGGGACGGAAAGGGAGAGAGGAAAATAGAAAAAGGAAGGGATAAGGGAGGGCCGGCATGGAGGGGGAGAGGAAGAGCAAGGGCGAGAGAGGGCAAGGGACCGGGCGCTGGCATACCAGGGGGGGCAGGGTGGTGGGCGGCGACCGCCGCATACCGTCCTACGGCGGGGACTATCGCTACGCCAGGGAAGACAAGGGCGTCGAAGTGCAGCTGCTGCTGTTCGAATCGTTCGGCGGGTTCGGAAAGGGGGTCCGTGAGATCCTCAGGAAGGCGGCGGACGTACTACAGAACAAGCTGACGCGGGCCCAGTACCTCGATGAGGTGACTTGGACCACCAAGAGCTGGCTGGGGCTGCAGAAGCAGCGCATCTCAGTCGTTCTTCACACGGCAATCGCAGAGCAGATTGTGAATGAGCTTGCCTGTGGCGGGGGTGGGCGGGTGCACGGAGCTAAGTGCCTCGCCACCCTCGCAGGAGTCGCTTAGGCGGCTCCCGTGGTGTACCTGTGTTAGTGCCAGTGCGAGCCAGTCCCGTGCCCAGTCCTGTGCCCAGTGTCGTGCGAGGGAGTTTTGTTGTAAAATTCTCTTCTGCCTGTGTGCTGTGAGAGAGAGTTGTGCTGTTTAAATTTCTTTTCATCCAGGGCTCCCCGATGGAGTACCAGCTGCACGCGAGCACCCCGCAGGCGGCGGGCGGGGTCCGCACCATCTGCGTGCATGGCCTGCCGAACGACGTGCGTCTGCGAGAGCTCCGCAACCTCGCCGTGCTCCTCCCGGGGTACGAGTCATGCCACCTCGCGCCCGGCGACGGACGGCGCCTCGTCACCGGCTTTGTGCGCTTCGACTCGCCCACGTCGGCCGCCCACGCCTGCGAGCGGCTGCAGGGGCTGCAATTCGACGAGGAGATGCCGCACATGCGGCCCCTCGCCGTCGAGATCGCGCGCCGCGACCTCGACGACGACCGCGGCGGCTCGTCGCGGCGCGACGCGGCGCCCGCGTACGCGGCCTTCACCTCGTACGCCGCCCGGTCGGTGGCGCCTCCGCCGTATCCGCACGCCCCACCATTGCAAGCATATGCGTACGGCGGTCCGTTCAGCGGCGGCGCGGGCGCCGGCGCCGCGTACGGATACGGGTACGGCAACCCCGCCTGCGGCGGATACTCGCACCGGGATGCGGGCGCGCCACCGCGCGTCGGCGGCGGGGGCGGCGTCAAGCGCTCGCGCTATGACGACGCGCAGAGGGGCAGCGACGACACGCTCTGCCTGAGGCGGCTGCCGGAGTGGGTCGGCGAGGACAGCCTGGCGGGCCTGGTGAGCAATCTGCCCGGCTACCGCCACCTCAAGCTCCTCCCCACCAACGGGACGAAGACGCTGTTTGTGCTCTTTGAGAGCGCGAGCCTCGCAGCCGCCGGGCTCGAGGCGCTGCGGGGCAGGGAGGTCTGCGGCTCCGGCGGGCAGCCGCATAGGGTCGAGGTGGAGATCGCGCGCCGGTCGCTGCAGCTCTCCCCGCCACGCGACTAGGAGCGGGAGAGGCGGCCTCCGCGGTGCGCGGGGCCGTGTGGAGACCCCGGTTGAAGCTTGAAGGTTCGGGATATCGGTCGGGCTGTGTTTTGATATTTGTCGTCTAGATTTTGAAAACTCAGAGCAGCACGCGGCGCCGGCATCCGGCACCCCCACCCGGAGTGCGGAGATACGTAAACATAACAAGCCGTATCCGCGTGATCCGGGGCCCAAGAGTGCCTGAGTGCGCACAACCCGAGCCCGACCAACCTGGTACCTGCGCCGTGCGCCAAGTAGCGAGTACCAAAAGGGAAAGTAGGCAAAAGGCGGAACGAGTGTGGGGTCGTCTGTCGTCCACATCACGCTCGCGAAGGATCGCGTTCCCCGGCGCTGCGCTGCTCGGGCTTGGGCACCGCTTGGTAGTTAGGTCCCTTGCCCCCGTTGCGCTAGATGCTAATCTTCGCCGCCGGCTGGGGGCTCAAAGAGACGCCCGCGCCTCCTGCCACTCTCGAATCGTCCGGCGCAAGTTGTGGTTCGGGATCAGGATGCTATGCTCGAGCTCGCCGCCCGTCAGCGGGCTCGTTGACTTGGTCGCGAGCCAGCGCTCGATCGCAGTCCGCTCATACGACTGCCCGTCGGCCGCCACGACTGGCTCGACCATAATCTCGGTCGTGATCGGGCAGATGAAGTCGGCCGGCGGCTCCTCCTCCTCCTTCGCAACCGGTGCCTCTGCAGCCGACGGCGAGCCGCCCTCGGTCGCAGTGACAACCGTCCGCTCCTCCACCACCGGCCTCGCTCCCTCCAGCCTCGCGCTCTCCTCGAGCGCCGCCGCCAGCTCCGCCTCCTCTACCTCCGCCGCCGCCGCCTCGCCCTCTCCCGTCTCGTCCGCCTCATCCTCGGGCGCCTGCGACGGCCCAGCGCCTCCGCCGCCAGCCCTCCCCTTGTTCTTCTTCTTCTTCCCCTTCTTGCTCTCCTTGGCGCGCCCCGCCTCCTTCTCCGCCTCCTCCTCCGCCAGCAGCGCCTCGGCATGCCGCGCCGCCTCCGCCTCTGCCGCCGCACTCTCCACCGCCCTCGCCGCTGCCTGCGCCGCCGCGAGCTCCTCGAGGGCGCGCACGCACGCGCTGTGGCCCTTGCTTTTGGCCATCTGAAGCGCCGTCCTGCCGCTCGCATTGAACGCCGTCGTATCGGCGCCCGCTCGCAGCAGGTGGCGCACAATGGCGGGGTGGCCTTCGCCGGCGGCAAACATCAGCGCGGTGTTGCCAGTGCTATCCTGCAAGTTAGCATCCGCGCCGCGCTGCAGCAGCAGCTCGACCACCCGGTCGTGGCTGTAGCTGGCGGCGAGCATCAGCGCGGTGCTGCCGTCGCTGTTCTGCAGGTTGGCATCCGCGCTGCGCTGTAGCAGCAGCTCGACCACTCGCTCGTGGCCGTAGCGGGCAGCGAACATCAGCGCGGTGCGACCTTTGCTCTCCTGCTTGTTGACCTCAGCGCCACGCTGAAGCAGCAGCTCGACCACTCGCTCGTGGCCGTTGTTGGCGGCGAGCATCATCAGCGTGATGCCGCTCCCATCGCCCGCCCGGCAAGTCGCATTGACCCGCCCGCCGCTGTCGAGCCACGCCAGCAGCGCCGCCTCGTCGCCTTGGAGGGCCGCTTCAAACGCCTCTTCGGGAAGGTTGCCCAGCGAGCCGGAAGAGGCCGCTTCGCCCGAGATAGCGCCGCCCGCGCCGCCCGCCGCCGCCTCGCGCTGGCTCGCAGTCACCTCCGCGATGTGCTGCCGGAAGGCCTCGACGCACTCGCTGTGGCCCTGCTCCCTGGCGTACTGCAGCGCGGACTTGCCGTCTGCAGCGCGCAGCTTTGTATCCGCGCCCGCCCGCAGCAGGCGGAGCACGATGGCGGGGTGGCCAAAGCCAGCGGCGAGCATCAGCGCGGTCCAGCCGTCGCTCTTCTGCAGGTTGACATCCGCGCCGCGCTGAAGCAGCAAGTCGACCACTCGCTCGTGGCCGTCGCCAGCGGCGCTCATCAGCGCGGTGACGCCATTGCTGTCCTGCTGGTCGATCTCCGCGCCGCGCCGAATCAGCAGCTCGACCACCCGCTCGTGGCCATTGTAGGCGGCGCCCATCAGTGCGGTGCTGCCGTTGCTCTTCTGCAGGTTGACCTCCGCGCCGCGCTGCAGCAGCAGCTCGACCACTCGCTCGTGGCCGCTGGCGGCGGCGAGCATCAGCGCGGTGCCGCCGTCGCTGTTCTGCAGGTTGACCTCCGCGCCGCGTTGAAGCAGCAGCTCGCTCACCCGCTCGTGGCCTTTAGTGGCAGCGTACGTCAGTGCGGTGCCGCCGTCGCTGCTCTGCAGGTTGACCTCCGCGCCGCGTTGAAGCAGCAGCTCGACCACCCGCTCGTGGCCTTGGATGGCGGCGAGCATCAGCACGGTGACGCCACTCACATCGCCCGCCCGGCAAGTCGCATTGACCCGCCCGCCGCTTTCGAGCCACGACAGCAGCGCCGCCTCGTCGCCTCGCCCGGCCGCTTTCCACACCGCTTGGGGAAGGCTGCCGGTCTCCGCCATTTGTTCATAGTTTTTCTTTTTCAAAACGAATCTACTGCAAGTCCCTCTTATTTGGCCCAACCAACCAGCGTTCCAGTGCGATGGCGTCGAACGGCCCTACCGTACCGGGAGCGGGCCCCTAGGCCATCTCTGCGCCGTTGAGCGAGACGTTTGCCTCGAGGCCGCCCTCCTTGACGGCCTCCGCGTAGAGCGAGAGGAAGTCGGCGAGGAGAGCGACGAGCACAAAGTCGCCGAGCATCAGCAGCCTGCGCCATGGCACGCACCAAGTCGGGGCGCGAGCGCGGGCGGGGCGCAGCGTCCCCGGAGCACCGCGTGAATAGGCGGCGAGTGGCAGAGGGCTGCCGGCGAGTCGGGTGGAGTGCGCGCTCTCAAGTGGCGGTCGGAGAGGGTGGGGCATCTAGGGGCCAGCAGCATGTGGAACTCCCCTTCGAGCATCAGCAGCAGCCACATCAGCACCCGGAACACCGCGCCGACGGCGAGGCAAGCGACGGCGTGCGAGGTGAGCGCCTCGACCCGCTTCGCGCGTGCAAGGGCGGCGCGCCTGCGGGGCACGCGCCCTCAGACACCCCTCAGACACCCCTCAGACACCCCTCGGACACCCCTCGGACACCCCTCGGACACCCCTCGGACGCATCTTCGAAGAGCCAGAGTGAGCGGCGAGGAGCGGCGGGGGAGGAGGCGGGGGCGGGGCGCGGGTGCGGGAGGTGGAGCAGAGCGATGTTGGTGGAGCAGAGTTGCGGCGCAGGGGGAGTGGGGGGGGGGGGGGAGGGGGGAGGAGGAAGAGGGGGGGGGGAGGGGGGGGAGGTGGCGAGCACACACATCGGCAGCACCGCCAGCATCTGCGTGTAGATGGCGCACGCGAGCGTGACCCACCGGAGCGAGTTGGAGGCGTCCTACGGGTGGGGCGTGGACGTGGCTCGGACGCGACCAGGACGCGTCCACTCCGCGCCGCACTGGAGGCGCGGCCTCGTCGCCCTCGCCGCTGAGGCCAAAGACCATGCTGAGCACTGAGAGCGCCGCGGCGGCGCCCGCCGCCTTAAACGCTGGGAACTCGTCGAGGCGCGCCGGCTGCACGCCGAGCGAAGGGCCGACCGAGGGCGAGAGGGCGAGGGCGAGCGCGCCCGACAGGATCACCGAGAGCACCACGTCGAGGTTGGAGATCAGGCTCGCGCGGAACGCGTGGCCGGTGAGCGACCACACCGCGCGCAGCAGCGAGGCGCCAAAGGCGAGGCGAGAGGCCTGCACGGAGAGCGCGGCCGAAGACTGGTGCTTGGTGAGGAGCGACCAGAGCTGCAGCGCCGACGAGGCCGAGGAGGCGTAGTTGCCCGCGGCGAACAGCAGCACGATATGGTGCGGCCCAGCGACGCCGAGCGGGGACGCGCGCAGCCGGAGGACGCCCACCAACAGCAGCAGCGCCGTGAGCACGCCCCCTACCCTCCGCAGGGAGGCCGGGCTGAGCTCCAAAAACTTGTCGGGCTGCCTCTGGGCGTCAGGCTGCATGCAGCAAACTGCGCCGCGAACACCGCAAGTGCAGCGCTGCGTTTTTTTATTTCTAAGAAAAAGAAGCGAAAAACGGATTGGCAGGTGGAGAGGGCTCTCTACTGCCGCGGCGCCCCTGTCGGTTCGGAGGCGCCCGGCGGCCGCGCGCTTGGTGCCGACGTCGACCGGCTGCTCTCGCGGCGCCGAGGCGTGCCCACGTCACGCGCGCTGCGAGGTGTCTTTCGGCATGTGAGCGCTTTGTGGAGACGCCAGGAAGCTCGTCTTCCATGTCTGCGGCCGCGGGCGTGCGGGCTGGCCCGCCGGGGTGGGCGAAGCTCCGAGCGGGTCTTCGAGCTCGCCGCCCACGACGAGCCATGGCTTAGCGGGTTCGAGCCGTCACACATTGGCTGCCGGGGTGTGCCGAGGGGGGGCTGGGTGGGCGGTAAGCCGTCATTGCCCGGCGCTGCTTGCAGCGCTCTGGGTGGTAGTGGCGGCGCTCCAAGAGTGGTGCTCTTGGGAAGAGGTTCCTCCTTTCCGCTCCCCCCCCGCAAGGCGCGAGACACGTATACGGTATTATGGTTTACCCACGAGTACCGTGTTTGTTATGACCCGACGACCCCCCCCCCCCCCCCAATGAACACACCAGTGAGGGAGGGCGAGACGATCGAGGGGTCCCGTACCAAGCGGAATCGACCCTATCAAGTGCTCAAGTGCTCAAGCTGGAGCGAAATTGCGATCGTTACGGCAGGTTACGGCGCCTGCATATCGGCCGGATCCGCGTGCGTCCCATTCCCTCGCACAGCTTCGCAGCTCATGCTGCTGGCGGGCTCGCGCCTGTCGTCCCGCCCCCTATTGGCCCTGCGCGGCCGCCTCGGCGCGGCGTCGGTGCTGGGCCGCCGCGGGCTCCACCTCGGCGTCGAGGCTGACCCGCGGCGTATGACCTTTGTGGACCCGACCGTGCCGGAGGAGACACCGAGCCGGGAGCGAGAGGAGGAGCAGGAGCTCCGTTCGCTCAACGGGATGGCGCAGGCGTATCGCGAGGCGGGCGACCTGACGCGTGCGGAGGCGTACTTTGCGCGCGTCCTCGCGCGCCGCCGCGCCCTCCACGGCAGCGACGACCCTCGCACCCTGTACGCGATGGGACATCTGACTGCGGTGCTGGCGGCGCGCGGCTCGCTGCACGCGGCGGTGACGCTGGCGAAGAAGCAGTGCGCGGCGTCGCTGCGCACGCTGGGCCCTTGCCACCCCGACACGCTCCTCTGCCACGGGCACGCTGTCTCACTCCTCTCCCAGGTCGGGCGGCACGAGGAGGCGCCGCTCCGTAGCACCTTCCTAGCACGTTCCTAGTACCTTCAAGGTCTCCTTCCTAGCACCTTCCTAGCAGTCTCCTCTGCCAGGACGAGAAGGCGCCACTCCTCGACCTCTCCTCGACCTCTCCTCGACCTCTCCCAGACCTTTCCAGTCCCTCCCAGACCTGCCCAGACTCGCCCAGGCCTTCCCAGACTCCCGTCTCTCCGCCCTGCCCGCCGCGCAGGCCGAGGAGACGGCGCGGCTGACCCACTCCTCGTGCGCCGCCTACCACGGCGAGGCGCACCCGACCACGCTCATCGCCCTCTCGCAGCTGGGCCAGGCGCTGATCTCCCCATCTCTCCCCATCTCTCCCCATCTCTCCCCATCTCTCCCCATCTCTCCCCATCTCTCCCCATCCCTCCCCACCTCTCCCCATCCCTCCCCATCTCTCCCCATCCCTCCCCTCATCGCCCTCTCGCTGCTCGGCCAGGCGCTGATCGCCGTCAACAAGCTCGATGAGGCGGAGACCTGCCTCCGCACCGAGGCGCAATCTCCCCATATCTCCCCATATCTCCGCCACGCCTCCGCACCGAAGCGCAATCTCCCCATATCTCCCCATATCTCCCCATATCTCCCCATGTCTCCCCATATCTCCGCCACGCCTCCGCACCGAAGCGCAATCTCCCCATATCTCCCCATATCGCCCCATGTCTCCCCATATCTCCGCATATCTTCCGCGATCCATTCGTTGCCCCTCCCGGGGGGCCTCGCTCGCAGACGCCCGTCTCGATGTCCAGAGACCTCCCGCTCACTCCCGTGCACCAGGTGGCTCTCTCGACCGACTCGCTCGGCGGCAGCCACCCCGAGACTCGCATCGCCTGCTCCAACCTCGCCTCGGCGCTGGTGGCGCAAGCGCGTGCCTGCTCGCGGACGCCATCTCCCCACATCTCCCCATAACTCCCCATCCCTCCCCACCTCTCCCCACCTCTGCCCATCTCTCCCCACCTCTCCCCATCTCTCCCCACCTCTCCCCCTCTCTCCCCATCTCTCCCCGTCTCTCCCCATCTCTCCCCATCTCTCGCCACCTCTCCCCATCTCTCCCCATCTCTCCCCGTCTCTCCCCACCTCTCCCCATCTCTCCCCACCTCTCCCCATCTCTCCCCGTCTCTCCCCATCTCTCCCCATACCTCCCCATATCTCGGCTAGGCGCGCGTGCTCGCTGACGCGATGCCCGACCTGTCCGCCTCGAAGCTGTCCGAGGCGGAGGCGCTGTTCCGCGCGCAACTCGACGCCTGTGTCTCGGCGCTCGACGCCCACGACACGCCCACGACACGTTTTCTTCCTGCCCACGACACGCCCACGACATGTCCACGACACGTCCACGACACGTCCACGACATGTCCACGACACGTCCACGACATGTCCACGACACGCCCACGACACGTCCACGACATGCACACGACACGCCCACGACACGTCCACGACACGTCCACGACATGTCCACGACACGTCCACGACATGTCCACGACACGCCCACGACACGTCCACGACATGTCCCACGACACGTCCCACGACCCGTCCCACGACACGTCCACGACACGTTCCCTTCTTCCCAGGCGCTCGGCGAGAGGCACCCGCACACGCTCACCGCCGTCTCGAACCTCGCCCAGACCTACCGCGACCGAGGTCCGAGATGCAGCCGAGATGATGCCGAGAGGCGGCCGAGAGGCGGCCGAGAGGCAGCCGAGAGGCAGCCGAGAGGCAGCCGAGAGGCAGCCGAGAGGCGGCCGAGAGGCAGCCGAGAGGCAGCCGAGAGGCAGCCGAGAGGTAGCCGAGACCCGCGGCGCCTCTCCACGCCTTTTCTCTGCCAGCAGGACAGCTTGCGGAGGCGGAGCCGCTGCTGCGCCGCGAGGCCGAGCAAAGACGGCGCTGGTGCCTGACTAACCAGCTATCCGTTGAGTGGGTCCGTCCTCAGTGAATTAGGCCGAGCTGTCGGCGCTGGTGCTCGGGCCGGCGCACGAGGACACGCTGTCCGCACAAGAGGCGCTATCTCCCCATATCTCCCCCATATCTCCCCATATCTCCCCATAGGACACGCTGACCGCGCAAGAGGCGCACGCGCGCGTGCTGGGGCACCTCAGCCGGTACGAGGAGGCGGTGGCGCTGCTGCGCGCCAGCAGAGGCGAGGCGCACCCGGCAACGCTCGCGCTGATGGCCGAGGCGACGCAATCTCCCCATATCTCCCCATACCTCCCCATATCTCCGCATATCTCGCGCTGATGGCCGAGGCGACGCAGCCGACGCAGCGGTGGCAGCGCCTGCCGACGCGCCGCCGCTCCTCGGCTCATCTCGCCGCATCTCCCGCTAGGCGACCCAAAAGTACCACGACGAGGGCCGGCCGTCGCAGGCGGAGCCGCTGGCGCGCGAGCTCGTCGCCGCGTGCGCGCGCCGGCTAGGAGTGCCGGGGGCTGGGAGACGGCGCGCTTGCACGGGCCTTCTTTACTGAGCGGTCTGGGGAGGGGTTCTCGTTAGGCGAGCAGCCCGAGGAGGAGGGAGAGGCGTCCCGCGCGCGCTGCATCTCGGCTGCACGTCGGCCGTCCCTCGGCTGTAGGCGAGGGGCACACGCTGACTGTGCGCTACTCGTGGATGCTGGCGGTGCTGCTGCGGCAGCAGGGCAAGGGCGACGAGGCGGCGGCGATCACCGGCGAGTGGGGCGCGCTGCCGTCGGATTTGCCGGCGAGCTTGCCGACGGCGCGGGGGCACAAGCCGGCGCCGCATTCGGTTGTGGACTACGTGGAGCTGGGCCAGTTCTCGCACACGCTGCAGACGGTGCGCTTCGACGGCGCCGGTGGTCGCGAGGGGACCGGACATGTCCGTGACGTGTCCGTGGGGCGTGTGGTCTCGTCTAGGTGAGCTTCGAAGACAACTACTCCAAGGACCTCGTCTCGCTGGGCCACGGCCCGGCGGAGCTGCCGCTCGGGGGGCTCGGCGGCGGAGGCTTCGCGTTCCACTTCGAGACGCCCTCATACTGAGGCCGCCCTACTGAGCCTTGCGGGGGCGGCGGCGGCGGGGAGGAGCGGGAGGCGGCCGAGGCACGGCGAGGGGTGCGGAGGAGGCGGAGGAGGGGAGACGGGGAGGGCTCGCGCCCCTTGCCTCGTGCCCCCCTGCCTCGTGATCCCGCGGGGCGAGTGGCGTCGCCCCGCGGTGTACAACGTCTGGCGCGCGCACACCCGCGCGCGGCAGAGTCGCTCGGCGCGGCCGCGGCAGTAGTGCATGTGCAATCTCTGGTGCATGTGTTGTCTCATGTGAGAGACTTTGTGAGCGGGACTGCGTCGATGTGCCGCGCTCTAGGTCTAAGGGGAGCACAGCGAGGCCCCGCTGTGAGAGTTGCATACATTTGAAGCGGGGCTATAGTAAAACACGCGATGTGGAGACTAAAGTAGGTGTGTCGCTCCCGTCGCCCCGGCCCGGGAGCGGGCAGTCGGCAGAGAAGTAAAGTAGCCCACGTATTATAAGGGGCCATGCACCATGGCCCCATTCCTTTCAAGTTCGGAGATCGAGCTTCTCGAGTAGAGTCTTAAGGTGTGCGTATCTGTTGTGTCTAATCCCTCGGTAAAGTGCTACGGCTATGCCTATGGGCCTGCGCTTGAACGCTCTCTGCCCTGCTATCGACGCCGCCGGACGACGCGCCGCCCGCGGAGCGCGAGGCCGCGGAGGCGATGCGCGCCGCGGCCGCCGACCCGAGCGGGTACGTGATGAAGCCGCAGCGAGAGGGCGGCGGCCACAACCTCTTCGGGGCCACGCTCGCGGCCGCGCTGCGCGAGCTGTCTCGCGCGCAGCGGTCGGCGTACATCCTCATGCGGCGCATCGAGCCAAAGGCGGCGCCTGCGGTCCTCGTGCGCGCCGGAGAGGTCTACCGCGGCGACGCCGTCTCGGAGCTGGGCGTCTACTCGACCTACCTGCGCTCCGCCACCGGCCGCGTCCTCATCAGCCGCCCCGCCGGCCATTTGGTTCGCACCAAGATGCGCGGGGTTGACGAGGGAGGGGTCGCCTCGGGCTTCGCCGTTCTCTCGAGCCCGCTCGCTTCATCTGATGATGTGGTGTGACGCTGATGTTTTTGCACGTGCGGTTCGCTCTGACATTTGCATGCAAGAGGTAAAAAGAGAATTTAAAAGAGAAAGAACCCCCAATGGATGTCACGCCTCGCTTTACCCACCTTGGGACGCCTGGATTACCGCCTTGGCGATCCAGGACGACGTTGGCGTTCCAGGACGCCCCAAAGCCGCTCACCTTTGCCAATGGCCTTCACACTGGCCTTCCTAGTCTCCGCTGTTGCCGCACGCCGGTCGAGCATCTCGAGCCCGACATCTTTCGTCAACCTCTCTCTTCCCCGCGCTGGCGGTGAGCGGCGGGCGATTGACAGACCGGCAAACGCTTCTCGAGCCACAAGCCAGGAGCACAAGATCGAGGCACCGCCCGATGCGGTGGCCACCCCTCGTGGGTCGACTGACCTCTTCTCCTTCTCAAGTGAGATTCCCGACTGGCGGGGCGCCTGCGCCTCCGTTGACCGCGCCGACCTCGAGGTCGAGCAGGCCGAGCTCGAGCGGAGTGACCAGGCACTCGGCGACCCGCAGTGCACTCGCCACGTCGCCGCACTGCGTATTCGCCCACCCTTCGCCCCTCTAGAACACCTCATGCGCCGCTCTACCCTGCCCTGACTGCTCTGAGCGCTGCCCTGACTGCTCTGAGCGGCATTCGCTCCTATCACTCATCGCGCCTCCTCCTGCGCGCCTGACGGAATCCCCCCCTCTCCCTTCTCAGGGAGAGAGCGAGGCACCCGACATGGACACGGCCGGCAGCGCTCCCTGGTACCGCCTTGTGGGTTCCCTCGTGCACGAGACTGAGGCGGTGCCCATGCCTCTGCCGGTTCCGCCAAAGACCGAGTTAGCGGAGGCGCAGCGCAGCGAGGCGTCGAGCCTCTTGCGGAACTACAACACGCCACAGGATCTAGTTCGGCCCACGGAGGTCTGCGCCACTCAGATCGCCGACTCGAAGACGGCCGAGTTGACCGATCTCTTCTCCATTTCAAGTGACTTTGCCGGCTCGTGGCCGCACTGCGCCTCCTTCATCTGGGCCCAGCGCGGAGCCGCCGCCGCCGTTGCGTGGCACGCGGAGCCTCACCACGCGCTCACCGACGAGCTCTACAAGACCGACGAGCCGCTTGCGAACCCGCCGGTCGACATCTTGCTCTCCATCGACCTGCCCTCCCCGTCCCACTTTCCCTTCATCAGCGGACAGTCCTCTTCCGCGCCTGGCCGCACCCGGCAGCGCATTCAGGTTTGGGCCGCCCTCTTGCTGCTCGGAGCGTTCGGCGTGCTGCTGAGCGAGTGGGTGTGGCCGCCGCGCTTCGGTGCGGCCTTGGTGCGCTGGAGCAACTCGGGAGGGCGCCTCGTGCAGTGCCGGACGGGGTCGAGGCGCGGCGCGTGGCTGCTTCTCCTCGCGGTGCTCCCGCTGGCATGTGCTCCGTCGCCCTCTCCGCCCCCACCCCCGCCTCTGCCGCCGCTCCCCACTGGCTTTGTCGCCACGGCGAGCATCAGGGAGCTCCAATCCCTGATCACGTGGGCTGCTGCTTCGCGAGCCGACGTCTCAATCTACCTGCCGCCCAGTGCAGACTTCAAGCTGAACAGCCAGATCAGGTGCGCCTCCAGCATCAAGGTGATCGTCGCGAGCAGCGGCGAGGGCGCGACGCTCGACGGCCAGGAACAGACCAGGCTCTTTTACCTCTCGGGCGGCTGCAGCCTCACCCTGCGGGGGCTGAACCTCGTCGAGACGGCCACGTCCTCGCTGCCCTTTCTCCACCCTTGTGCGGCCGTGCTGGCGCTGCTCCTCGCGGCGTGCTTTGAGCCGCTGCTGCGTGGGCAGGTCAAGAAGAAGAGGGTGGAGGGCCGCAGGCACGCAGCTAGCTCCGTGCACTGGCTCGCCAGCACGCGTGCTCTCCGAGTTGGCATTGTGATCATCTTCTTCCTGCAGGGCGTATGCGGCACACCAGCGGCACCGCTGCAGCCCGTCAGCGTCAGCAGCCCGTGCTCGCTCACCGACGGCGGCTTGTGCGCCACGTCGCCAAACTACCCGAACAGCTACGGCATCAACGAGGCGTGCACCATCAGCGGCGTGCCGCTGGTCGAGCTGGAGACGGTCGCCTTTAATGTGGAGGCGGGCGACGGCTGCCGCTACGACTATCTCACCGTCAACGGCGTCAAGTACTGCGGCACCTCGGGGCCGAGTGGCGCGGTGGCGGAGGACGGCGTCATTACGTGGCGATCGGATGGCAGCGGAGTCAGGTCGGGCTGGAAGGCGTGCCCCTGGTCCCTCTCGCTCCCCTTTCTTCTCCTCTCTGACGCCTATCCTCCCTCTGCCGTCAGATCTGCTGGCCGACCCGCCCGCCTTCACCGCCATCACCCCCATCACCGCCTCTCGCTCCGCCGCCGCCGCCGCTGTCACCGCTGCCGCCGCTGTCACCGCCTGCTCCGCCGCGCTCCCCCGGCTTCGATGTCGTCGCGGAAACCGAGAACGAGCTCCGCTCCCTGATCGAGGACGCTATTGCCAACGTCTCAATCTACCTGCCGCCCGGTGCGCACTTCAAGCTGGGCAGCCGGATCATCTGTACCTCCAGCATCAAGGTGACCGTCGCGAGCAGCGGTGAGGGCGCGACGCTCGACGGCAAGGGGGAGACCGGGCTCTTTTCCCTCTCGTACGGCTGCAGCCTCACCCTGCGGGGGCTGACCCTCGTCAACGCGAGGGCGCACAGCGGCGGCGGGTGGTGGCTGGCCGGTCGCGGCGGCGTTGTTGTGGCCGCGTGGGGCGCAGGCGACGTCGAGATCATCGAGTCGATGATCACAAACTGCAGGGCTGACTATGTGCGCCGTGTAGAGCTAGCAGCCCGCCCTGCAGTGCCGCACGGTAGCGAGGCGAGAGATAGAGAGGGCCGCGGCTGCGTCACCCCGCTCTCTCCTCGCAACCGCAGTCCGGCGGCGTCGTCTTCGCGCGGGACAGTGGTGCGGTCTCGATAATAAACTCCACTGTGACTGGCTGCTCGGCTGGCCAGGTGCGCCGCGTAGAGCTAGACGCACTCCTGCAGAGCCGCACGGCAGCGGGGCGAGAGATAGAGAGGGCCGCGGCTGCCTCACCCCGCTCTCTCCTCGCAACCGCAGGAGGGCGGCGTCGTCTACGCGATTGACAGCGGTGCGGTCTCGCTAATCGGCTCGCCCGTGACGGGCTGCTCGGCTGAGGTGCGCCGCGTTGGGCTGGCCGCCTCCAGCAGCGCCGCACAGCAGCGGGGCGAGATATGGAGAGGGGCCACGGCTGCCTCACCCCGCTCTCTCCTCGCAACCGCAGCACGGCGGCGTCGTCAGCGTGTATGAGAACAGCGGTGCGGTCTCGATAATCGGCTCCACTGTGTCGGGCTGCTCTGCTATTTGGGTGCGCCGTGTAGAGCTAGCCGCACTCCTGCAGAGCCGCACGGCAGCGGGGCGAAAGATAGAGAGGGCCACGGTGCGTCACCCCGCTCCCTCCTCGCAACCACAGTACGGCGGCGTCGTCTTCGTGTATGATAACAGCGGTGCGGTCTCGATAATCGACTCCGATGTGAGGGACTGCTCGGCTGGCCATGTGCGCCGCGTAGAGCTAGCCGCCACCCCTGCAGCGCCGCACGGCAGCGGGGCGAGAGATGGAGAAGGGCCACGGCTGCCTCACCCCGCTCTCTCCTCGCAACCGCAGTCCGGCGGCGTCGTCGACGCGTTTAACAGCGGTGCGGTCTCGATAATAAACTCCACTGTGACTGGCTGCTCGGCTGGCCAGGTGCGCCGCGTAGAGCTAGCCGCACTCCTGCAGAGCCGCACGGCAGCGGGGCGAGAGATGGAGAAGGGCCACGGCTGCCTCACCCCGCTCTCTCCTCGCAACCGCAGTCCGGCGGCGTCGTGGCCCTGACGACTGACACCGACTGTCTGGGGGCGTCTGTGAGCCGACGGGACCCTTCCCGGGCCCCTCCGGGGGGGGCCCGGTGCACCCGGAGGGAAACCGACCTCATCGTGACCGACTCCACCATCTCCGGCTGCAATGCCACGCGAGGCGGAGCAGTGTACGTGCGGTCAGGCTCAGCCAGCCTGACCCGCTCCACCATCTCCAACTGCATCGCCACAGAGTCTGGCGGCGGCCTCTACTCGGAGGGCGGGCGCACCTCCCTTAGCGACGGCACCCTCATCAGCGGCTGCTTGGCCCAAGAGGGCCGCTCCGTCTTCCTTCTCGCTGGCGAGGTCTCCTATACCCTTCCCGCCCCAGCCGGCCGCTGGCTGCCAAACGCGCGCTGCGAGGTGTACCGGGAGGCGTGCGCGACGGATGATCAAGGTCGCCCGACCAATGACTGCCCTAATCACCGCGAAACTTGCGCGATCAACCTCGTCGTTCAGAACAACGTCGACCCGTGGTACTGCCAGGAGCCGACTGTTGTTCAGCCGTGCAACTGGGATAGCACGCGGGGCGGCGACCCCTCCCTCCTCGGTGAGAGCCTCTACCAGCTGCCGCTGCTGCCCGTCGATGAGGACTTCCCCTTTGCCTGCGCCGCCGGCCTCCTCGGCTCGGCCGACCCAAAGGAGCAGTCGAGCAGCAGCTGCGCCGGCCGCTGCCCCGCAGGCTCCCAGTGCCCCACAGAGGCGACCTATGAGGCGCTGCCCTGCGATGCTGGTCACGTCTGCCCGGAGGGGACGAGCGTGCCCCTTCCCTGCCCCGCCGGATCGTACTCGAACGCCACCGACCTCGCCGCCGCGAGCGAGTGCACCGACGCCTCGCCGGGCCACTTCGCCACCACGGGCTCGACGCAGCAGACGCCGTGCACCAAGGGGTCGTACACGGACGCGTACGGGCAGGGCGAGTGCACGCCCTGCGCCGGCGGGTCGTACCAGGACGCGGAGGCGCAGACGGGGTGTAAGGCGTGCGAGCAGGGCAGCTACTGCCCCGAGGGCGCGTCGGCGCCGCTGCCGTGCGAGGCTGGCAGCTACTCGCGCGCCACGGACCTCACCGCCGCCTTGCAGTGCACCGCCGCCGACCCGGGCTACTTTGCCACCACCGGCTCCACCGAGCAGACGCCGTGTCGCGAGGGCAGCTTCGCCGCCGAGGAGCGCAGCGAGGCCTGCGAGCTGTGCGCCCAGGGCTACTACCAGAGCGAGCCCGGCCAGGCCGCCTGCGTCCGCTGCGCGTTTGGCAAGTATTGCCCGTTGGGTTCGTCGCGCGAGCTGGACGCGCAGTGCTCGCCTGGCACGTACGCCAACGTGACGGACGCCGACGGCGACCCCGAGTGCCTCGCCTGCCCCGCCGGCTCATCGTGCGCGGGAGGTGGCGCCGCGCCTGCCGTGTGCTCTCCAGGAACCGCAGCCAAGCCTGCTCAGGACCAGTGCACCGTCTGCGACGTCGGGACGTATCAGCCGGATTCCGGAGCCGCGGGCTGCCTCGAGTGCGCGCTGGGTACGTTCTGTCCAAAGGGAAGCAGCGCTCAGCTGCCGGCGACCTGTCCCGCGGGCTTCTACAACGGGAAGGCGTCCACCACGCTGGAGAGCCTCGACGATTGCGTCGGTTGCGCGCCTGGCAGCTTCTGCGCCGGCGGCGCTGCGCAGCCAACCGCTTGCGCCCCAGGCAGCATCGCCCCTTCAGCCAACATGTCTGCTTGCGAGCTGTGCCCGATCGGACGCTTCGCAGCCTCCACCACCGAGTGCGAGGAGTGCGAGGCGGGCACCTACGCGGCGAGCGACGGCCTCTCGCAGTGTACGCCCTGCCCTTACCCTACCAGCTCCGAGAGCGGCGACGTCACCTGCCCCATATGCAAGGAGGGCTTCTACCTGCAGGACGCGAGCGCCCTTCCGGATGACATCTTCCGCTTCCCGACCGAGCACTGTAAAGCGTGCCCGCCGAACGCCAACTGCGCGACTAATATCACTCTCGAGACCCTCGGCGTCCAGCGCAATCACTGGCGCGCCTCGCTCCTCACCACCGAGATCCACGAGTGCGACGCCTCCGACCACTGCAGCGGCTCGGGCGGCGCGACGCAGACCTCCCGCCGCCTGGCTGCTTCTGGCGGCGCCGGCCCAGGCTGCGACCTCGGCCACACCGGCCCGCTCTGCGAGTGGTGCGTGAGCGACGAGCAGTACTTCAGCCGCGCGGAGCGAGGCTGCACCGACTGCCCGACGACGGGGCGGTTCGGCATCCTGGCGGGGGTCGTCGTCGCTCTCGCAGGGACAGGGCTCTTCTTGTACCGCGCCCTCCCCCGCGCCAAGGCGTGGGGCCGCTTCAGAGCACGTCTTGATATCGTCGAGTCGCAGGTCGGCGTGCAGCCCCCTCCCCCCCATCCACTGACCGGGCGCCTCTTGCCTCTCGTGTCGACACCACCCCACCTTACCTTAGGTTGGTTTCCAACCCAAGTTCAAGATCCTGGTCAGCTTCTACCAGATCGCCGCGACGCTCGGCCCCGTCTACGGCGTCCGCTTGCACGAGGACTTCACGCGCTGGACCGACTTCATGGACGCGATCAGCTTTGACCTGCTCGGCCTCACCTACCCGGATGCCTGCATCGGCTCGATGGGAGACCGGCTCCTGCTCGCAGGCTTGTGGCCGATCCCATCTATCATGCTCGGAGGCGCCGCCTTCGCCTGCTGCGCCCTCGCGGAGTGGCTTCTGTCTGGTCGCGCCGACGCCCTCCGGCGCGACCTCGTCCGCGCGACGCAAAGCCGCCTGCTCTACTGGGCCATCCTCGTCGCCTACCTCGTGCTGCCCTCCGTCTCTCGCTCCATCTTCAAGGCGAAGCAGTGCGAGTCGTTTAATGTCGACGACGTGACAGGGGAGAGGCGCTCCTACCTCGTTGCCGACCTCGACGTGCTCTGCAGCGCCGGCGACGACGAGTACAGCGGCCTCGACGCGTACTTCTGGGCCTTCTTTGTGCTCTGGCCGGTGCTCGTGCCGCTAGCCTTCCTCGCGCTCCTGCTTTCGATCCGCTCCGAGGTGCGGGCGCAGCGAGACAGGGCCACGGCCCGAGCTTGCCGTTTCCTCTGGCGCGACTACGACCCGCGCTTTCTCTTCTGGGAGGTCGTCGATCTGGGCCGCAAGCTCTTCCTCGCTTCGCTGGTGCTCTTCATTCAGACAGACACCGGGTCGAGCAAGCTCCTCCGCCTCTTCGTCGCCTCTGTCATCTCGGCCCTCTACCTCGCCGTCCTCGCCCTCGCCCGGCCCTTCAAGCGCGACGACGACCTCTACCTCGCGTGCACCGCCAATTTGCTGCTCGCTTGCTGCTTCATCTCCGGCATGGTGATTCAGCTCTGCGAGAGCGCTGCTTATGAGGAAATGTGCAAGACCCTCGTCGGCTTCGACAGCGCGCACGGCGCGAGTGAGTTTGTCGTCGCGCTCACCGCCGCAATGCTCGCCGCATCGTTGCTCGTCCTCCTCTTCAAGACAATCAGCGCCGTCCGCGCGCCCACCATCCGCCTCGTTACCTCTGACCGCCCCCCGACCCTCGAGCTGCCCCCCGAGTGCCACTTCCACGGCTTCATCTCGCACTGCTGGGGGACCGGCCAGGACCAGACGCACACAGTCGTGCGGCGGCTGCAGCTGCTGCTGCCCGGCGTCCGGATTTGGCTCGACGTCGACAATCTTGAGGACGTGGGCAGGCTGGAGGAGTCGGTGAGGGACGCGACGACCTTTCTCGTCTTCCTCAGCGCCGGATACTTCAAGAGCTTCAACTGTCGCCGCGAGCTGTACGCTGCGCTGGCCTCGAACCGGCCCTTCATCCCGATCCACGAGGCTGACGTCGACAAGGGCGGCGCCTCGATCGAGGCGCTGAAGGCCGAGTGCCGCGAGCACTGCGTCGAGGTCGCCCCGCCCGCCTACCCCTCCTACAGCGGGCCAGGCGAGATGCTCGCGCGCGTGTTTGAGGCGTCGTCGCCGATCGTGTGGGTGCGTGTGAACGCCTTTCAGCTCGAGTCGCTCAAGGCTGTCGCGCTGCGCATGTTGCTGCACTCTCCTTACTACGCGAGCCGCCCGGCCGAGCTCGCCGACGGCGTGATGGTGCCCGCCGGCGAGGCAGGCCCCGTTGCCTTCAGCGGCCCCGTCACCATCCTCGTGTGCCGCGACAACGAGGGCGCCGTCGGCATTGCAAGGGAGCTCAAGACGGCGGCGAGGGAGGGGCGCGGCTCTACCGCCAGCGCCGAGACGGTCGTGATCCGCGATGCGGAGGAGGCGCTCGAGGGAGCCAGCGCGGCCCCGCTCTCCGGGTACGTAGTGTTCCTGCTCTACCTGAACGATAAGACCTTCCTGGACGCCGTCGGCGCCGTCGCGCGCCTCGTACAAGCGGCGATGGACCGACGCATCGCAATCGCCATGGTCCACGAGCAGGACCCTATCTACGGCGGCGTTCCGTTCCGCAACTTTTTCCAGCAGACGCCACAGGTGCTGCTGCAGCCGCCGTACAAGCTCTTCGACACGGTGGCGGTGCCGCTCTTCCCGGCTCCGGAGCACCGCAAGATGAGCCGCCGCCTCGTGCTGAGCAGCATGGGAGCTGTGCCGTGCGATGCGGGGCCGCTCCAGCGGCGGTGGCAGCTGCTCCGCCGCCACATAGCGGTGGCGCGCCTCGTGCGGGGCGCGACCAAGCAGACGGCTCAGTCGCGCGTTCGCCGCGTCACCGCCCTCGCTCGAACGACGCAGCCCCGCGGCTCCTCTTCAAAGATGGAGCCGTGTCGGTCGAGTGGCGAGGACCTTGCCTAAGCCTGCGAAGAGTCGGCGCAGCGCCGCATGCCCAGATGAGCCAGATCGTCTGACCACCACCATTTCGCACCACCACCTCCACGCATGTTCACTAGCTAGCACTGGAAGCGTTTGGGCCAGACAAGCTGTGCCTGCGCGCCTCTGCGCGCCTGCGGCGCAAGCGTTTTGTCCCCTCCCCTTCTCCCTGCATGTGTCTGCGCCTGCTGCTGGCGAACCCCGAGAGGGGTTGGAGTGCCTCGCCAGGCCTGCTGTAAAAATGTGCTCCCCTTTCTCCCTGCCAGTCTGCGCCTGCGGTACGTTTTGTGCTCCCCGTTCTCCCTGCCAGCTGCCTGTCTGCGCCTCAGCGCCTGCGGTACGTTTTGTGCTCCCCGTTCTCCCTGCCTGTCTGCGCCTGCGATACGTTTTGTTGTATACCCCGTTTTCGCTTCCTGCTGTCGCGTGTCGGACGTACTAACTACTATCTCATCCGAGCAGCCTCAGCTCCGACCGACCGCCCTCTCCCTTGGGGGTTGGGGCGCCGCCCGCTGACCGCCAAACGCGCCCGCCTCCCTCCGCTAGTGCGGCGTGGCCCTTCGTCCCCGCCTTCCACGGCGCCCACGCCCTCCTCGCTCGCTTCGCGGCGGGCGCGGCGCTGCTCGCGTCCACCGCCTCCACCGCCGCCTGCTGCTGCTGCGGCTCCTCCAGCTCGGACTGCCGCACGCCTCTGCCTCCGCCCAAAGCAGCCAGCCCGCCAAGCCGCGCCGACGGAGCGAGGGGCGGGCCCCCTGCACCCCCGCTCTCCGCCGCCGCCTCGCCGAGAGCGGCGCTCAGGTGCGACGGCTCGTCTCTCCGCATCGCCTCGGAGATAGCCGAGGCCGAGGCCAGCGCCTCGAGCCGCGCCATGGCCGCGCGCAGCCGCCGCCGCGCCTCTGCGGAGAGCGCCTCCGCCCCAGCCTCAATCTCCTTCATCGTGAAGCGCGTCTCGCTCTCCCCGACCTCGCCGTCCCTCGCCACCCGCTTCCGCCGCGCGGACTCGACGCGAAACTGGTTCTGCCAGCTCGTGACGAACCCGGCACCCTCTCCGGCGAGCTGTCGGCTACCGCCGCCGCCGCCGCCGCCGCCGCCGCCGCCGCCGTCGGCCGCCGCCGCCAGCGCGGCGTCGGCGCAAGCTTGCGAGGCCTCCTGGCTGCGGCCTCGCTCCCTCTCCGCCCGCTTGTCGGTGCGGATGCTCCTCTTGTCGGCCTCGAGCAGCTGCTGCGCCAGGCCCGAGCGAGAGGGGAGGCGAGAGGCTGCGTCTCCGGGGCGAGGGGCTGCGTCTCCGGCACGCCGAGGCGCGCGCTTGGCATCGTCGCTGAAGAAGGCGACCACGTCGCTCCACAGCTGCAGCTGCGGGTAGTGCTCGCGCAGAGCCTCGCGCACCACCTCGAGTGTGGACAGCTGCGCCGCCCGCCGGCGGCACACGCCCTCTCCAACGCCGACGTACTTCCCGAGCCTACGTGCTGAATACGCCGACATGATGGCGGGGAGACGGCGGAATACGTGTCCTCTCGGGCGCTGGTTGGGGCACATCAGTACGTCTTCCGCTTCTAGGCTCCCGAGCCGCGTGGTGAGGCGGTGCACCCGCGAGGGGGCGTGCTCGTCGACCGCAGGGAGGAGCCGCTCCACAACCTCGTGGTGCGCCGACGGCTGGGTGGTTCCGAACCGGAGCGCCGCGAGGTCAGCGAGCACCTGCGCTGGCGTGCGGGTTGTCCAGACAAACTCGTTGGCGTCCACGATTGAATCGTCCCACACCGAGAGCGACTGCAGAGGCGGCGAGGCGCGCGGTAGAGGAACGAGCCTGCCGCCGCGCATCGCGACGTGCGGCCACAGCTCCGGGTTGCCGAGCACCGCCTCCCATTTCAGAGGGCAGAGGAGGAGCAACGCATCCTCCGCCGCGACGCCGCACGCGAGGTGGGCGGTGTGGTGGACCGCGCGTCCGAGGAGTAAGCCGTCCACGTGACACTCGGCAGCAAACCACGAGCCGACCGCCCCGCCTGCCGCCTCTGCTTCCGCTCCCGCCTCTCCCGCCGCCTCCGTTGCCACCGCTGCTGCGCCGGCGGCGCCCGCGGCACCGGAGGGGCGCGCCCACATCTCAACGACCACGCCGAGCGTCTCCCACACGTAGGCTCTTAAGAAGCGAATGGCTGTCTCGGCGGGCGACTCGACACCTCTCGTGAGTTGCGTACACGGAGCGCTGGCGTTCGGCTGTGGAGGGCGCGCCATGAGATGCGGAGGGAGGACGGCCGGGACGGACGCCGTGAGGCCGCACTGGTGCAGGCCCGTCACTGGCTGCGCGTTCGCGGGGCCCAGGCTTTGCCGCGCCGCGGCGTTGAGCGCCGCCACGAGCGCCACTTCGCCCGGTGAGACATCACTGACCGCCGTCAGCTCGCGTGAGGAGCCAGGAAGGGTGCGAGGTGGTGTGGCGAGCACCGCGCGCGAGGCCAGGTGTAGGTAGAGTGGCACCGCGCCCCGCTGGAACGGCGGTCCCGCCCGCCGGCAGTAGCCATGGAAACAAAGAATGGCATTTTTTCGGTAAAATTACACTGTGAAAAAGACAGAAAAAGAGAGAAAAACGCGCGCGCAGCGCGCGTAGGCGGCGCGTGCGCGCCGCCGCAGGCGGCGGACAGCAGGTGCGCAAAATTAAACGCCATTTTCGGTTCCGCGGTTTTGCCACTAACATCAAAGGATAAATTTCAGATTACCCGGTTTTTTAGATTCGCCTCGCAGATCACCCGGCGTTTTTCAGATCACCCGGCGTCTTCGATTTTTTGCCTCGCAGATCACCCAACACGGCGAAATGTCGTTTCCAGATTACCCAACACGGCGAAATGTCGTTTCCAGGTTACCCGGATCGCGAAATTTCTTTTTCCAGATCACCCAGTTTTGAGATTCGCCTCGCAGATCACCCGGCGTTTTCCAGATCACCCGGCGTGAGCGATTTCAGATCACCCGGTGCGGCGAAATGTCGTTTCCAGGTTACCCAACACGGCGAAATGTCGTTTCCAGGTTACCCGGCTCGCGAAATTTCTTTTTCCAGATCACCCGGTAGTGGGATTCACGACTGCGTCATTCAAGCAAACGACTAACGAGGCCGGGGATTCCGAAAGTGGGAGCTCTCCTTAGGACCACGTGCCGCAGGTGCTCGCTCTCTGTCTGGACGAGGTGCACGCTCGCAATTGGCTGGCCTGCGCGCGCCGTGGTTCACGCTGAGTCCGGCCTTTGCGCCTAGCTAGGGCCTAGGCAGCCGTCCGTGTCCGGGTAAGCTGAAGAGAAAAATATGTTAGCCGCCGGGTGATCTGGACGAGAAATTTGGCCGACCGGGTAATCTGACATGAGAAATGTTAGCGACCGGGTAAGCTGAAACGCGAATTGTGGGAGACTGGGTACACTGATTTTGTCAATTTTTTGATGAATGTTTGCTGAGCAGGAAAATATCGTTGCCGGGTGATCTGGACGATAAATTTGGCCGACCGGGTAATCTGACATGAGAAATTTTAGCGACCGGGTAAGCTGAAACATGAATTGTGGGAGACTGGGTAAACTGGTTTGACGGAAATCGCGCTAAGCAGGAAAATATCGTTGGCCGGGTAATCTGCGAGGCGAATCTCAAAAACCGGGTAATCTGAAATTTATCCAACATCAAATGTCGGGATGATTGATTGATTCGACTACATGCCCGCCTTTGCGCAGGCCAGCGCCGCGCTGTGATACGCATAGAGACGACCCGACCTCTCTGAACTAAGCCAGATTACTGCGAACGAACGCGTAGCACGAACGCGTAGCGCGCGGCGGGGAAGTCAACGGGGCAGCCGGCCGGGCGCCGGCCGCGCCCGAGGCGCGAGGGCGTAGACGGGTCACAAATTGCCCGGGACGGCTGGTCACTTGGTCTCTGACGTAGGCCACGCACATGCACATTAAGCGGTGACATGACCTGATTGTTAAGAGCCGGTCCGCGAAATTAAATGCCATTCTCCAGGTATCCATTTTAGCACTATCTTCGAAATCCCGGCCGGTACTGTTTTAAGAATGAGTGAAAGAGGTTGTTGGTATTGTCTCTGAAAGAAATGGGCTCGGCTGCGCCTGGGTTCGGAGCTTCAACGCCGGCCATTGCGCCGAATAAAACGGCGGCAAGTGCCGGACAGTGCACAGGGGCTTCGGCGAGAGCGTCGATGCCTTGAGTTGCCCGCTATGGCCGGGGGCTGCACCGCCGTGTGCATCAAGAAGAACTTGCACATGTGGAAACTGTGTATATGCCGAAATGTGACGGCGGCGAGGGCGACACGGACGGAGCAGGCGACAAAGGCGAATCCGACGGCGGAGGCGGCGACGGCGACACGGACGGAGGCGGCGAAAGCGAGACCGATGGCTGCGACGGCGACGGCAAGCGAGCTTGCTGCGGGGAGGGCGAGACGAAGGAAGGCAGCGGCGACGGCGACACGGACGGAGGCGGCGACGGCGACACGGACGGAGGCGGCGACGGCGACACGGACGGAGGCGGCGAAAGCGACACGGACGGAGGCGGCGAAGTCGACACGACCGACGGCGGGATTCCAACGGCGGCGGCGGCGACGGCGACAAGGACAGAGGCGGCGAAAGCGAGACCGACGGCGGCGACGGCGACGGCGACATGGATTGAGGCGGCAAAGGTGAGATCGGCGGCGGGGATGGCGAAACGGAGGAAGGCAGCGGCGACGGCGACACGGACGGAGGCGGCGAAGGCGACACGGACGGATCCGAGGCGGCGACGGCGACACGGACGGCGGAGCGGCGACAGCGACACGGAAGAAGGCGACGGCGAGACCGACGGCACGGCGGGGAGGGTGAGGGCGGCAGCGGGGAGGCGTGCGGCGGCAACGGCAGCGGCGAGGGCGGCGGCGACGGCGGAGGAGAGAGCGGCGGAGAGGGCGGTGGAGAAGGCCGCGGGGAGGGTGGCGGAGAGGGCGGTGGAGGCGAGGGCGGCGGCGACGGCGGAGGAGAGCGCGGAGGCGACAGTGGCGGAGAGGGCGGCGAGGAGGGTGGCGAACTCGCAATAATTCACCTGCGGGAACCGGGACGGCGGGGAGGTGGCGGGACCGAATCGTACCGCGGGCCGCCGGGCAGCGGCCATACCCGCTCGGGGGAGGCAGGGCTCAGAATCGGTTTCAGGCCACAAGGCCGGTGAGTTGGGCGTGACCGTCATCTAGAACGCGCCCGCTCGCTCGCGAAGTCGGTCTGCGGAAGGTAACGACGATTCGGCTAGCTGGGCGTCTGCGGAGGCAACGGGCGGGCTGGCGATCCGCAACGAGGCCTGTTTGTCGCGGTCGGACAGGCACCCGTCGCATCTGTGGACAGGTGTGACGACGGCAGTGACGAGATTGCGGCGCAGCCGCGCACGGGGTCCCGCCGTCAGCGGCCACACAGGCAAGAGCGGCACATCATGAGTCGGGGGGGTGTCGGGGCACGACGAGGGTTGCTTCGGCTGGCGCTCGGAGGCCACCAGGCGGCCCCATTTGCGTCCGGCAGGTGCCTGCCGCACCCTGCCGCACGCTCTAACGTGCAGAGCACCGAATAGACGCCTTGCCCAAAGAATGTTTCGGCGTAAGATCCTGCTCGCGCAGGTGGGGACCCTGTCCTTCTCCCACCCCTTGTTTGGTCCTAGACGGCTAGTGCTAGCTTCCGGGAGGACGACCCCGGCTAGTCGCCGACCACACCCACAAAGAACCCTGCACAAAGACCGCGCACGGGCGGGGAACGGTTCCTTTTTACCAAATCTCCTAGTAGAGCTGTCTGTTTTATTTATTTATTTGGTGCGTGTGCGCGCCAGGGCGCGGATGGCGACGACCACCGGATGCCCTTCAGCACCGCGTGGCACGCGCTTCACCGCGTAGAACCGGTGACTCCGGTTGGCAAGCACTTCGCGGAGCTGCGCCGGCGAGACGATCGATTGCGCCTTGCGGATTTCATCTCTCGAGCGCCAGCAAAGCTGCCAGTCCTGTGCGTCCCATGGGCGTGGGCGCAGCGGCTCGCACTCCGCACGCTGCAGACTCCACGTTGGCAGCAGCACCTCCTCGGGATAGAGCAGCGGCTTCGTCCAAGCTTGCAGCATGAGCGTGAGCTTGCGCTGAGCAGGTGGGGAGGACGCGGCTTCGGCTGTCAACGCGGCGAGAAGAGTAGTCTGCGGGTTGGTCCATGTGGGAGTGGAGCTCTTGAGGTGGCTCCACCTCGAGGTGGTCCATTCGGCATTTTTCTCAAAGTGGCCGATGAAGGCTCGCAAGACCGACAGTGGATAAAAGCTTCCCTCGTGGTAAGCAAATCCGTGTCGCCCACGGTCGACGTGCGGCGAGATGGTCTGGTAGAATGGAACGCCGCGCACCTTGCGCGTTGCCGCGTTCGCCGCGAGCGGAGCTGGACTCGCCGAGCAGCGCAGCTGCCGCACAGATGCCTCCCAGCCACGTCGCACCCACAGCATGTTGGAGGCCTGCAGCACGGCGTACTGACAGTGATTTGGCCAAGCGGTGTCCATGTGCACAACGTTCAGCAGGTGCGCGAGCAGGATGGTCACGCTAGCTCTTGAGACGCCAAGCCGGCCAGGAGTGATGCTCAGTCGTCCATTTGCCAGTATTACGTGTCGGGCGAGCGACGCCATCGTCTGATTGCTGTAGGCCGTGTCGACATTCAGGTGCATGACGACTCGTGTGTTGGCCTCCGAAAAGTCAAGCGCGTTGCGCATGAGAATGCGCAGCCACGGCAACTGCTCGAAGGCGAGGACGGAAATGCACGCCGCCATGAAACTCGTCCGTCCAGGTGTTCCCTTCACACTCTAGAGGGCCGCGGACCGCGCAGGGTGTTCTCGAGGTTCTCGAGGTGGATACCCTTGGCCGCGTTGGGCAGGGGTGTGGTCAGCTCCAGATCATATACACTCAGAAAATAAAAAGAACGAACAAGAATTTCACAAGGAAGGCTGCTGTCCACACGCACGATTCACAGGACAGACTGCAACGGTGTATCAGTCACCTTATGCCACCGTCGCTGGGTGAGAGAGAGATTTTTAGCAATACCAATTTGTGTTCTGGGTGAGTGGTTCTTTATGCTGAGTGCCGTGGTGTGTTATC